ACCTTCCTTCTGTGGAGCGGCTGGTGGGTTTGAACCACTGACCTTTTGGTTAACAGCCAAATGCCTTATCCACTATGCCACCAGAGCTCCTTTCTCGTACCCCCAAAACTCCAAAAAAAAAAAAAAAACCAAACTCACTGCCGTTGAGTCGGTTCCAACTCGCAGCAACCCCTCCTTGGGTTTTCAAGGAACTATCTCTACGGAAGTAGATTGCCCAACGTTCCTTCCGAGGAGTGGCTGGTGGGTTTAAACCACCAGCCTCCTAGTTAGCAGTCAAATGCCTTAGGTACTACACCACTGGAGCTCCCCCTTGTACCCACAGGGCTCCTTAAATCAAGCTATCTACCATTCAATAAAATACGCAGGGCTCCTTAAATCAAGCTATCTACCATTCCATAAAATACGCTCACTTCTCCTGCTCTAGAGGGGAGGGGAGGGGAGCTCACCAACCTCCCCCTCTGAGGGGTCCAAGATGGGGTCCCTCTTGCCCGGGTGTAAGGAGGAGGCGCTCTTGGGGCACCAACCCTAGATCCAGGGCTCCACTCAGTCCTCTGGAGAGAGCTATGCCCCAGCCTCTCCCCTGCTTATTAGCAAACCGCTGTGGCTCCCAGCGCGCACAGGATGAAGTCCCAGCCCTTCCTCAGTACAGGCCTTTCCCAGGCACCAGGAACAGCCCGCAGACGCTCCTGCCCTGTCTGCCCGGCCAGACCTGGACCTGCCTTCCCTGCTTTCCACCTGGAAGACCCAGACTCATCAGACCAAGCTCAGACAGCACCTCCTCCAGGAAGCCTGCCAGGGATGCCAGCCTGGGGCCAACTCACTGAAGGTCTTCTCCAGCTCCTCACAGCGTTGGACGTCTGCCACGAAGCGTCTCTGGAAGGCACTCACTGACGCGTTGAGCTGTGGTCGCCAGAGTGAGGGGTCAGTGTACCCAGGAGAGGGCCAAGGCCTTACCCCAGGGCCTGGCTCTGCTCAGGCCTCAGCCGCCTCCTCCAGGAAGGTGATGAGCATGGTGTGAGTGTCCAGATGGCCAAACTGCAGGAGCCACCAGACCCACGATATGCCTAGTGGGGGAAGCCTAGAAGCCAAGGAGGCTGGGCTGACCCAGGCCAGGTCAGGGTGGCCTCGGCTGAGGGTAGCCCTGGGATTCCTGAGAACAGAGTATCTGTGGCAAGGGCTACCGGAGTCCAGCAGGGGTGGGGCCTTTTGGGGGTTCTGTGGCTGTGAAGTCAACTCCACCTCCTGGAGACCCTAGGTGTGTGGAGTAGAACTGCT